TATTATGAGTTTATGACAACTATGTTCAAACATCGACTTTTCCCTGTGTTTCTGTTTGTAAGTTAACATAATTTGGGTGATTCTGTGCATTAAATTCCCTATGACTAGCAAGTTGTGGTGTGTCTTTATTATAACAACACCAATGAACTTAGAACTTATTTGGCATCACATCACAAAGCCCTAGAAGTCAGTGAGGGCTAAAAAACAAAGTTACTTGTATTGGAAAATTTGTTGTCATGGTATTGTGATCAATTTTTTTTTTTTTTGCCTAAAAATCATTTAAGAGTTGCTTTTGATTATATATCAAACTAATCTTTTTTCCATATAAAAGGCTTTCTAAATAAAAATTAATTATGCTAATTAACTTTTACTTCAACTTTAGTTTATAAGCATAAATGTCATTTTTGTCAACATTAATCTAAACAAGTCCTTAGAAAAATGCTTTAACCTGCACGTAGAAAATTTAATTTAAACTAGTGCATGGAGGCAGAAAAAAAAAAATGGAGGAGACAATAATTTGACTCTTATTAGATTGGTCCCACAATGTGGCCCCACCAAAAGAAAGTACTTTTCCGATCCTTAATATGAAACCCATTTAATTAATTTAATTAGATTAAGGAAGTTAGGTAAGTTAGTTAATTATAAGAAATGTGACACATTTTTTTTTAAAACACCATAATCATCTTTCTTAGTATCTTCTTTTCTTCTTTTACTTGGTTATGGTTGAGGGAGTATCTATAAGGGTAATTTAGAGAAATTGATAAATATAAGAAATAGGTCTTATATTTAGGACCACAACCAACTCAACAATTGAGTCCTATATAAGGACCGGAGGAGTAGTTGGTTTGACAATTATAAGAGAAAATAACAGAAAAATAATTATTGAATTTCAAAAGAACAAATAAGTTATGCTGATTATTTTTTATTAGGTAGGGACAAGCTCGAAGCCCTCAAACACAACACACACCCCACGCACACAAGTACTACTCAAACTATCGGCTAGTGGTATCATGTTAATTACTCTTGAATGATTTGACTATACTTGTAATGATTTTTACAAGTCAAAATCTGTTAAACTTACCTATTTGTTATTTTAAAATTCAATAGGTGCTTTTCTATCATTTTTTTCTTGTTTAGTTTGGAATCGATTTTTCTCATAATGATATTTTCAAGAAAATGGGAATGAGAATGGCAAATGAGCTTTCTATGGTATAGTTTAAGAAAAACCCCTTAAAAATGGGCGAAATGACAATTTGTCCCGCGTAAGAAAATTATTGCTAATTGAAGTTTCGCCCTTGAGTGCTGTCATCCACAACTTGGGGTGTGTTTGGATGAACCAAACTATGGTTTGGATAATAGCTTTTGGAGAATAAATTCTAGAAAGAATAGATTCTGTGAAGAATAGATTTTGTTAAAAAGTGATTCTGAGAAGTGAGAGTGTTTGGATAGTTGTTATCAGAAATACTTTTTATATATACAAATTACTAAAAAAAAAGAATTAATATGATAATTATATAAAAGATAAATTTTGTGATATATTTTAACTTGAAGGAATAAAATTGTTAATAATATATTTTTTACCAACATAATTAATAATACATAAGATAATGTAATTAATAAATAATTAATATGTGTATATATGTTTATAAGATATAAGGTTAAATATGTTTATAAAAAAATAATTAAGAAATGTTAAAGTCATATTATTGTTGAGATCTACTCTGACAGGCACAATCATCTCTCCAATTTGAGCCAGAAGCAGAATGAATTCACTTTTCCTGAAACTATGGTTTTAGATTCCAAAACCATGGTTTTGACCCAAACCATGGTTTCATATTATTGGCCCAAAATTGATGGTGTTTGGGTGACATCTCACCAAAACCATGGTTTTGAGGGTCACCCAAACAGGCCCTTGGTAAAATAATCATAATACTCCTTAAGATTGAGCTCCTTAGGTAAGAGGGAAATGATGAGAGTAAGGTGGTCATGATGAAAATTCTGGGAGAAACATTGATCATAACTTAAAAGGCTCTTGAATATAAACTATAGTCATATTGGGCAAAGAGAGAAGTCATCAATCTGATTAATATAGGCAATGTGTACTATGCAGTGAAGCTCTCCAACAAGGAGGACTACTTCAAGGTTGCCTCTTTTAATAAATGATACTTCTCGGTCCTTAATATATTATCTAACTGGAGAATTAATATTAGTTTTATATGTAAGACTTATTTTACATGTTTATTAATTTTTTTTTTCAAATTAATTCTGTTAATATTCTCTCAACAATGACCAGGTAAGAGAGGAAGGGAAGGAATTAAGAAATACTTAAGATGTTTTAGGAAAAAAAATATCATATTAACTAATTTAACTAGCATCATTAATCTAAAATTAATTAATTAGGTCTTACATTAAAAAACAAAAGAGTATTAAGGAATATAATAAATGGGGGAAACGGGGAGGGAGGGGGTATAGTTGAAGAGTGTGTGTGTGTGTGTATTAAGGATAAACCTTAATCTAAATGTAATGTAAAAACTTCCACAATTTTGCCTCTTTCAGTGACATCAAGATGGTTTAAAATGTCTACTTTTGCACTTTTTTCCTTAAAACAAAGTACTTTCACATAAATTGAAATAAAACTCTTCTTACATACTTACCTCATATGCCATAAAATCACTTATAAAAAAAACTAATTCAAACACTCCCTTAGTGTTAGATCTGCAAATTTCTTAATTTTTGTCAAATGCATAAAGCCCTCAATAGTGATATTAATGCACCTAATATTTCTATTTTGATGGTTAGGCTGAAAATGAAAAAAAGTACCATTAATAATTATATCCTCAATAAAAAAAAGTTAACCATAATGTAAATATACTGTCCATTAAATTTCGTGCAACATTTCTTTTATGAATTGTTTTACCTAAAATACAAGAAAAATTTAAAAGCTTATAATAAAAAACCATTGTACTTGTTCGTTATCGGTCTCTCGCTAGTATTTAGTCTTGGACGGAATTTACCGCCCGATTGGGGCTGTATTCCCAAACAACCCGACTCGCCGACAGCGCCTCGTGGTGTGACAGGGTCCGGGCACAATAGGGCTCTCACCCTCTCCGGCGCCCCCTTCCAGGGGACTTGGGCCTGGTCTTCCGCTGAGGACGCTTCTCCATACTACAATTTGGGGACGTCGGCCGCACGTTTGCCCAGACCAACACCACCGTGGCAACCATACCCCGCAACCCCAAAGGGGGAAAGCGAGCAAATGGAAGAGACAGGAGGTGCCGGCCCAAGCCCGTTAGGCATGAACGCATCTTTTAGGGACCAAGCGGCATATGCCCCTAGATCAGATACCGTCCTAGTCTCAACTATAAATGATGCCGATCAGGGATCAATAGATGTTGCTTATAGGACTCCACTAGCACCCTATGAGAAATCAAAGTTTTTGGGTTCCAGGGGGAGTATGGTCGCAAGGCTGAAACTTAAAGGAATTGACTGAAGGGCACCACCAGGAGTGGAGCCTGCAGCTTAATTTGACTCAACACGAGCTCTCACCCTCTCCGGCACCCCCTTCCAAGGGACTTGGGCCCTGTCCGCCGCTGAGGACGCTTCCCAGACTATAATTCGGACGCCGGGGGCGACCGATTCTCATGGTGGGCTATTCTTGGTTCGCTCGCCGTTACTGAGGGAATCCTTGAGCCCCTCTCGTCCACGGAATGCACTGGGTCTGAGAGCAAAGCATGGCCACATGTCCCACACGACCGGTGAAGGCTCGGTGGAGCACGAGGCATGCTTTGGGGTCCCCCGACACCCGTTGCAAGGCGTCGGGTGGAGGTAACTCTGAAAAGGCGTCAGTCTCCCATTGAACAGGCAGGCAACACAACATTTGCCGCGGGCACCGCTAAGCATGACCTTGGTTGCACTTGATTGCGTGTCGACAGTTTGATGGACGAAGCATGAAGCCAGCCGATAGCGGCAATCGAAACATCACTCACATGCCCGCATGTTTGCCTAGACCAACACCACCGTGGCAACCACACCCCGCAACCCCAGAGGGGGAACAAACAATCCCTTAGTGTTAGATATGCAAATTTCTTAATTTTTGTCAAATGCATAAAGCCCTCAATAGTGATATTAATGCACCTAATATTTTTGTTTTGATGGTTAGGCTGAAAATGAAAAAAAGTACAATTAATAATTATATCCTCAATAAAAAAAAAAGTTAACCATAATGTAAATATACTGTCCATTAAATTTCATGCAACATTTCTTTTATGAATTGTTTTACCTAAAATACAAGAAAAATGTAAATGCTTATAATAAAAAATGAATATCATAGCTAAAAATAAACTAAACTTAATTCTAGCAAATTTATGAATATATTTTTCTAGTTATTTTTAAAATGAGTGAAATCAAAATATAATAAGTCCTTATTATAAGTAAGATTAAAAAATAGTCAGAAGTAGTTTATCTTATTAAATTGTTAAAAAATTATCACTAATGTCCAAAATTGCCATTGATTAAATTCCTTGGAAACCTCAACACAAAAATTTCCCACACAAAATAGTTATTCCCTAATTATAATAGTCAACAATAGTCAAAACTGGCGCACATATAACATGTCTAAACATTTTTTACCAAATCGAGTAAACACAAAACCCGGACGGATGGCCAAATTTCGATTGAAATAAAAAAGAATTATTTAAAATAAAAGAGAGAGAAAAAAAATAAAAAATAAAAGAGGATGAGGTAGAAGGAAACGAAGGAGTAGCTCTGCCACGAGAGCTTTGGCAAAGATTGTATGGTTGAAAGAAGTTGACGCAGAAGAAGAAGGATCTTCTTCTTCCATATAACAATTCAAAAATGAAGGAACCCAACAAGAGAAATCAATAGAAAAAGACAGAGAGAGATGATTTCATAATAGAAAACTGATCAGAGAAAACCCATCAAGGGGGGAAAAACACAAAACAACAAAAGATATCATTGTTCTTAATTATTATCATTATTATATGGCTGGTGGAACCATGAAGATTCAGCTGGTTTTTCTTCTAACCAGCCTCTTGGCTCTCTCTTCTTCTGTAATGCTCGTCCATGGCGAAGATCCTTACCTCTTCTTCACATGGAAAGTCACTTACGGCACAGCTTCTCCTTTAGGACATCCTCAACAAGTCATCCTCGTCAATGGTCTCTTCCCAGGACCTGTCCTAAACTCAACCACCAACAACAACATCGTCCTCAATGTCTTCAACCACCTCGATGAGCCTCTTCTCTTAACCTGGAACGGCGTTCAAGAGCGGCGGAACTCCTGGGCCGACGGAACTCCGGGAACTCAATGCCCTATCCCGCCGGGAACAAACTACACTTACCATTTCCAGATGAAAGATCAGATCGGAAGCTATTACTATTACCCAACTTTAGGGTTACAGAGAGCCGCCGGTGGATTCGGTGGCATCACCATTAACAGTCGGCCATTGATCCCGGTGCCGTACGACCGGCCGGAAGAGGAATACACAGTTCTGATCTTTGATTGGTATACACAAAACCATAAGGATCTGCAGAAGATATTGGACAGTGGTAAGGGACTTGACAGGCCAAATGGTGTTCTGATCAATGGGAAAACAGCAAAAGGTGATGGAAAGGACAAGCCAATGTTCATGATGAAACCTGGGAAGACATATAAATACAGAATCTGTAATGTTGGCATGAGGGAGACATTAAACTTTAGAATTCAAGATCATCGCATGAAGCTGGTTGAGCTTGAGGGGTCCCACCCAATGCAGAACTTTTATGATTCACTTGACGTTCATGTTGGACAATGCTATGCTGTTCTTGTGACAGCTGATAATAAGGAACATACAGATTATGTCATGCTGGCTTCCACCAGAAACATCCACACAAACCCTCATGACAAGGACGCCGCCGTCCTCACCGGCAAGGCCATCATTCGGTACGTCGGCGGACACGGCGCTCCGTCGCCAAAGCTTCCACCGGCGCCTACCGACATACAGTGGTCGGTGGATCAGGTCAGGTCGTTCCGGTGGAATCTGAGCGCCAACGCGGCGAGGCCGAACATCCAGGGATCGTACAAGTACGGCCAGATCCAGATAGCCCGGACGATAAAGCTGGTGAACACGGTGGAGAAAGTGAAGAACAAGCTTCGTTATGCCATTAATGGGGTGTCACATGTTGATCCAGAAACGCCTCTGAAGTTGGCTGAGTATTTTGGAGTGGCGAATAAGGTGTTCAAGTATAATATAATTACTGATAACCCACCGGCGAAGATAGCAAAGATCATCGAGGCACCAAATGTTATAAACATTACGTATCGCAGCTTTGTTGAGATTGTGTTTGAGAACCATGAAGATACTATGCAATCATTTAACTTGGATGGTTATGCCTTCTTCGTAGTGGGGTACGTACTTATTATTATTATTATTATTATTATTATGCAAGAAATAAATACTCGACTTAATTTGGTTGCCACATATTATATAAAGTTTAGTTGGTTAATCTATTTTTATTAACGATGTTAGAATGAGAGGATTAAAAAAAAAAAAACACCTTATAGAAGTATTGGGCCAAAATGAAGCTATATATGTGCTACATATGCACTTTTGCTTTATTATTACTATTTCATAAATTTTGAAGGTAATTACTCTGAAATTCATATGCATTATTATTTTTTTATAATTACACCCTTCAACTCTTTTGTTTTTTTTCCCCCCTAATTTCTTGCTCTCAAAATGCTCCTTCTCATCCTACATATATAAGACTTCTTAAGGTATCTTCTAAGAGGGCAATATTGGTCCAATGTTAGCCTAGTGGCTTGAGCCAATGTTTTAATCACAATCTCATTCAAAACGAAGATATATATATATATATATATATAGAGAGAGAGAGAGAGAGAGAGAGATAAGAGTATAATGAGATACTAGGATGTTTTTGGACAAATAAAAACATGCAACAACTTCTCTTAATACACGCAGAAACATGCATGAAACATCTTACAATAACTTCTTGTGATGTTAGAGGGGTGTGTGCGTGTCTATACATACATACATATATATGTACTTGTCAATATTTTGATAATTATGTATGTAACAAAGGCTAATAATAGTGCTATATTGTTAATATTATTGTGAACAAAATGTACAGAATGGAGCCAGGCGTATGGAGTCCAGATAAAAGGAAGAGCTACAACCTTGTAGATGCAGTGAGCAGACACACAGTTCCAGTGTTCCCAAACCATTGGACAGCCATACTCTTAACATTTGACAACGTTGGAATGTGGAACTTAAGGTCTGAGATGGCTGAACATCGCTACTTAGGTCTCCAACTTTACATCAGTATCCTCTCAGATTCTGCCCAGTTCAGAGACGAATATAGCCTCCCAGAATGGCAGCTTCTTTGTGGCATCGTCAAGAATCTCCCCAGACCTAAACCCTAAATCACCATCATCATCTTCAAAAGCCTCATATATATGTAAGCCCAGATCTGGATCAGTGCAACTTATATAGACATAGTAGTTTATATATATTGATATATTGATTATGCTATCTCTAATATATAAATCATGGATTTCCTTCACTACATGTTCATCCGCGAACATGAGAGAATCCAGTAGTTGCCAATTGAAATGACCACATTGACATGTGGTGCATGTCTGATTTGAACCATTCAGATCAAATCGGTCCGTATTTTTTTATTCTTTTTGCAAAAACTTGAATCATCGAGATGTATCTAGATGGTCCAGATGCACTGAGTTGAATAGAGTGTCATTTTTTACACTTTTTTTTTTGTTTTTAAAATTATGTATCTGTTCTAGAGTGTGACTGAGTTGAATGATTTGCGTGGCCTTAAACGGTCACGTGTAACCTCAAATACAATATATAATATTAACTCTCTAATTGTAGTTTTACTTTGTTTTTTTTTCGCTTTATTTAAGTATAAAATCGCTGCAGATTTTTCAGGTGACTTTCGATATTTTACTTTTCTTTCTTTGCACAAAGTCCTCAAACCAGACTGAGTAAGGATATAATATAAGGGGTTCTTTTAATTTGCATTTCGGGTTAAAGCCAAATTAATTATCTTGGACAATGCTATCATTGGTGAATTGGAATAAGAAGGTGGTGCGCTCTATTGGTGTGGGAATTGCAGATTTGGAAAATAGACTTAATTAGTACAGATAACTTCCCTGGTGGATTTTGTTCAAAAATGATCAAGAGGAGGAGGAGGAAATTAAAAGATGAAACAGCTAGCGTACCACCAAGAGGTTGGATTAATTAGTAAGAGTTATTCCAACTTAACCAAAAGTCATGGGTTCAATCTTTTAGGAACACAGCAACAACGTAGGTGGAAATAAAATACTTAAAATTACATGTCAAATGCTAAGTGTTATTTTTTAAATGAATGTATAATAAAAAAAATATAAAAACTATTGACTTTGAAGATAATTTCAATAGCAGGAATATTGATAATAAAAATAGGAAACATTAAGATCCTTAATTTAAACTTTTAATGGTTAGGGAGGACTAACTGGCCATTTATTTTTGGACAAATTTCGTTAAACCCTCACAGTAAACAATTAGTATCCAACAGCTCTTATAAGATTAAAAAATTTCACTGCACCCCTTGAACCAAAATGAAATTAGAATTTAAGAGGGAAAAGACAATAATACCCCTATTTTAAATTTTTTTTAAAAAATAATTTTTGCCAGAGCTTTGACCTCCACCACCAATCACTAGAATGTCAATGACCAAACCTCTAACATCTAGTGGCCAGTCACCCGAACTTTAGTTACGGAAGGATTTTTTCTAAATAAGATGGCCAAGGGGGTTTGAACCCATGACCTTTTAGCATACCAAAAAGATTCTAACCACCATAACAAAACAAATGCAAGTATCAAATTGTAAATAAACAAGTGAAGTTTAATGATTTACAATTGAAATTTTACGATTTATAATCCAAATTTTGCGATTTACAAGAAACATAAATATTTGTATTTGGAATTATGAATTTCTTTATGTTTCTTGTGATGTTTATGTGTCTTGTAAATCACTAAATTTGGGTTATAAATTACCGAATTTCACTTATTCATTCACATCTAAACACTTATGCCCCGTTTGGTACGATGGAAGAGTTTTTGATGGAAGTGGAAGTAGAAGTGGAAGTGGAAATAGAAGTGGAAGTGGAAGAGGAAATGAGTTTTAAAACATGTTTGGTGTAACCATGGAAGTGGGATATAAATTTTAATTAAAATACATTATTGTAATGTGAAAATACCAAAATACCCTTTGGCAGAGAGAAGAACTCAACCGTTCAAAAATCCTCTCCACACCAGATGCAACCATCCACCAAGAACCATCAGCACAGTCGAAAGAACCAATGATCACCATAAACAAATCCAGTAAAAAAGAAACATTGACTATGAATCACAAATTACACAATTGAATGATTAAAAGACAACAATATTCTAGTCTTGAGAAAGGAAATCAATGAAAATCGTAGAATTGAAGTACTGGAGATTAACCCCCGAAAAGACCAAAATCGTGCTCCAAAGTCGAGACCAAAAAACTTCTCAAAGCAAGCAAATCTGTACAAGGTTCTTGTTTGGGGAGATTCATGAGCTTCAACATTTGCATTGTAAGCTTTGTTCTAAGATTCGCAAGCTTCAGTCATTACAAATGGAAAATCAAAGAAAGAGAAAGTGGAAGGAAGAAGACAAGGTCGAAGGGAGAAGATGAGATCTGGTGGAGAATAAGCAGCCATGGAGGAAAAGAGTAGAGATGAAATCCGCACCACTCCTCTGCCGCCGTCCTCTATGCTCCAGATCTCATGCCAGTAGGAGCATCGCTGGAGGCTTTGAGGAATCTGTGAACCTCGGCTAAGAAGAGGCCGTCTACCGAGTGGTCAATGGCGTCGACGCTGTCCATCATCGTGCTCACCGGAATCATCGCCGTCTGCCATCATGCTCGCGGGTGTTGAACAGTGGGAAGGGTGGGGATGGGGGCAAAATAGTCACAGAGCCAGTTCCATGAGAAGTGGAACTGGGTTCCTGGTGGGGAACCAAGGAAGTGAGTTCCACCGATTTTGATGGAAGTGGGAGTTCCATGGAAGTGGCTTCCAGCATACCAAACATCTTAAATTTGGATTCCACTTCCACTTCCACTTCCCTCCCTCCCAATTCCATGCTACCAAACGGGGCATTACATTTAGGGTTGTGAATTCTCTTGTATTTCTTATAAATCGCCGAATGGAAGTTGTAAATATCCGAATTTTTATTATAAATTATTGAATTTCACTTATTCATTCACATGTAAACACTTGCTTTTTAGGTTGTAAATTTTCTTTTTCTTTTTTTTTTGTAATTCACCGAATTTTGGTTGTAAATTTTTGAATTTTTGTTGCAAATTGCCAAATTTCATTTATTCATTTATACTACAAAAAGCAGCTTATTGCCAACACAATTATGATGGAATTTCATTCCATCGGTAATTTTTTAGTGATAAAATTTTTTTGTGAGAAATTTCTATCACTAATCTGTCACTAATTTTAATTATAAAATTTTTAGTGATGAAATTTTTTGTCGCTAATTCCACCACTAAATTGTTGGCCACGGAAATTTCTGTCACTAATTTCATCGCTAAGTCTATGTTGTAGCAATTTCGTTGCTAATCCGTCACTAACTTTAAATTTTATTATTTTAGATTATAATCCTACAACAATTTATATAATAACATAATTAAGAATGTAATGATTTAATTATATTTTTAATTATAAAATACATTGATATATTTATAGAGTTGGGGTGTTAATTAAGATACATCATCGTTCATTTGAATCATCTCATCATTAGATACATAATGAAATAGGAAGACAATTTCTTAGAAAACTTGTTTTATTTTTCATTAAAATCAATTCCTCTTGATTATTAAAAAAATATGATAAGAATATTAATAAAATTCTTATACAAATTAATATAATAATCAAATTTGATCATGATATAATTAATAACTCATAGATTAATTTTGGTTTTCAACGCAAAACAAATTGTATGTATAAAGGTATTTTTAGGAAAAAAATTATGTAAGATACACACATAAGTAAGAGAAGGATGTTTATTATAATCTATTCAAATCATTTAATTTTTTTATACAGAATAATTTATTAGATTTTATCATAATTATTTTTTAAATAATTAGATTTTTTACTAATTATAAATAGATTTCATCAAATATGTAAAACACAAATAGATAATATAATATAATGTAATATAATATAAATAATTAAATTATATACCTAATCAGTGTTGATTAAAAAAATTAAGTATAAAAATATATTTGTGAAAAAATATTTACAATTTAAAATTCAAAATTAGTTTCATTAGAAATTAACATTATATTAAAAATAATTTTTAAAAGAAATAAAATTTTATAAAATAAATAGTAATTCAAATATTTAAAAAAGGATTTTGTCATAAAAATAATTAAAATTAAAATTATTATATAATTTATTTTTAGTTTTTAATAATATATTTGGGTAAAAAATATTATATATATTTAATTTTATGTAAAATATTAGTAGGTTTATTGCAGTTCAACTGGTGAAAATGCAGCCACACATGAGGTCCCTAATTCAAGCTATGGAAAAGTCATTTTGAGGAGGAATTATGTAGTGGCGATACGTGACAACTGATAGAAGTGCCACGTGCATTTTGATTCTATCCTAAATTAGCAACAGATTAGTAATGAAAAAAGTCCACACTAATTTTGTCACTAATCCAATTAGCAATAGAAGAATTAGCAATGAAACTTGCTAATCCGATTCCATCACTAATTCTATCGTTAATCGCATTTTTTTTTTGTATTTTGCATTTGGAGTTGTGAATTCCTTTATATTTCTCATAAATTGTTAAATTTGGATTGTAAAGCTCTGAATTCTTGTTTTAAATCATTGAATTTCACTTGTTCATGTATACCTAAATACTTGCATTTGGAATTGTGAATTTTCTAATGTTTCTTGTAAATCGCTAAATTTTGATTGTAAATATTTGAATTATTATTGCAGACTGTTGAATTTTACTTCTTTATTAACACCTAAACACTTATATTTGGGATTGTGAATTTTCTTATGTTTCTTGTAAATTACCTAGATTGTAAATCGCCAAATTTGTGTTGTAAATCACCGAATTTTGTTTGTTTATTTACACATAAACACTTGCACTTTATGTTATAAATTCTCTTATGTTTCTTATAAATTGTTGAATTTGAGTTGTAAATCATCAAATTTCACTTATTTAGTCACACCACTTGCTTTTTTTTGGTGCCAAAAACAAAGTCAATTTTATTAAGGGAAAATGACAAAAAAATGACTGTTGAAATTGGAAATGACAAAATGGGCATGCAAATAAGTGAAATGACCAAATAGGCATGGGGTATCAATCTGGA